CCCCTCTGAAAATTCTATCCAAACAGACTCTCTGTATTACTTCAGACCTAATACCCGTTTTTATGCGACAGTTCGACCGATCTCGGACATGCAGTGCCACCCTACCCCCATTCCCAATACTCCTGTCTACTTGGAACAATTTAAAACCCTGTAGTGTGTGACATTCAGCAGGCACGTCCCGATTTTTCGCATTGAACCGCTTCTCGGTTAAGGCAGATATGTTAACTGCACTACCAACTAATCTCAACTCGTCCATCTTATTCCTAGCATTACGAGTATTTGTGTAATACAGTGGACCCTCGAATTTCTCATCCCTTTTTTGTATGTAAAACTAGAGTTATTCTCTATAAAATGTATTTCTTGTTAATATTTTTGGGTATCTGGAATGGATTAATTGGATTTACATTATTTCTTATGGGAAATATTAACAAAAAATACATTTTACAGAGAATAACTATAGTTTTACATACAGAAAAGGGATGATGAAATTCGAGGGTCCACTGTATATATTTAAGGACCTTCCTTTCTCTTTACCCTTCCTGCTCCTTTCTGTTATTCCACTAAACCTATTACTGTCCTTGTCACCTAATGCCACTGGCTTTCCAATATCCACCTCATTTTGCCTATTACTACTTCTCATAGTACGTACTCGTATTACTGCGCTGGGACTTCACTGTTTTCCCGCCAAAACCCGTACCACTAACTATTCCTAGTTTAAAGTCCTAACAGCTCCCTCCACTGCAGTTGCCAGTGCTCCCACCCCACACCTAGATAAGTGAACCCCATCCCTGCCATACACATCATTTCTGCTATACAAGAGGTCCCAGTTGTCAATGAATGTTACTGCGTTTTCCTTACAGTATTTGTCCAGCCAGCAACTGACACCAATTGCCCTGGACAACCATTCATTTCCAACTCCCCTCCTTGGCAAAATACCACGTATGACAGGGTTCCCACCCTTCCTCTTAATTATCTCTATTGCTGACCTATACCTGCTAATCAGGTCCTCACTCCTACATCTGCCAACATCGTTGCCTCCAGCACCGAGACAGATAATAGCATTGCTCCCATCCCCCTCTCGTGATGTCATCCAGACGGCTAACAATATCCTCCATCCCAGCTCCAGGAAAGCAAAACCTCTGTTTCCTACTCCTGTCCTTCAAGCAAACACCCTATTCATGTACCTAACCTGCCTATCCCCCCCCCCCAACAACAACAAAAACTTTCTTACCTTCCTTGGTGTCGTTCGTCACTAAGGAATGACACGTTCTCGTGTGTTTAATGACGTTCTCGTGTGTTTTATGATCGTTCATGGTTCAACAGGTTAAGGAAGTAGTATCGTATTAGATTTCCCTGCAATATATTGGGCACCAAACATTCGTAGTTTTTCAACATTCGCGAGGCTCTTGATTCCCTAACCCTTGCAAATGTTGAGGGAGACCTGTGTACAGAAGGGTTATTATTGAAAGAATTAGAGGTAAGACAGAATGTAGGATTCCAGATGAGCAAGAAGGTTTTAGAGTTAGTTGGGCATGTGTACATCAAGTGTTTACCTTCAAGCATATGTGTGAACAGTATTTAAATAAAGGTAGGGAAGCTTTTATTACATTTATGGATTTAGAAAAGGCATATGATACAGTGGATAGGGGATCAATGTGGCAGATGTTACAAGTACAGGGAATAGGTGGTAAGTTACTAAATGCTGTATGAAGTTTTTATGAGGATAGTGAGGCTCACATTAGTGTGTGTAGAAGAGAGGGAGACTACTTCCCACTAAAAGTACATCGTAGACAGGGATGTTTAATGCCACCAAGGTTCTTTAATACATTTATAAATATTTTTTTATTTTTTTTTTATCACACTGGCCGATTCCCACCAAGGCAGGGTGGCCCAAAAAAGAAAAACTTTCACCATCATTCACTCCATCACTGTCTTGCCAGAAGGGTGCTTTACACTACAGTTTTTAAACTGCAACATTAACACCCCTCCTTCAGAGTGCAGGCACTGTACTTCCCATCTCCAGGACTCAAGTCCGGCCTGCCGGTTTCCCTGAACCCCTTCATAAATGTTACTTTGCTCACACTCCAACAGCACGTCAAGTATTAAAAACCATTCGTCTCCATTCACTCCTATCAAACAAGCTCACGCACGCCTGCTGGAAGTCCAAGCCCCTCGCACACAAAACCTCCTTTACCCCCTCCCTCCAACCTTTCCTAGGCCAACCCCTACCCCGCCTTCCTTCCACTACAGACTGATACACTCTTGAAGTCATTCTGTTTCGCTCCATTCTCTCTACATGTCCAAACCACCTCAACAACCCTTCCTCAGCCCTCTGGACAACAGTTTTGGTAATCCTGCACCTCCTCCTAACTTCCAAACTACGAATTCTCTGCATTATATTCACACCACACATTGCTCTCAGACATGACATCTCCACTGCCTCCAGCCTTCTCCTCGCTGCAACATTCATCACCCATGCTTCACACCCATATAAGAGTATTGGTAAAACTATACTCTCATACATTCCCTCTTTGCCTCCAAGGACAAAGTTCTTTGTCTCCACAGACTCCTAAGTGCACCACTCACCCTTTTCCCCTCATCAATTCTATGATTCACCTCATCCTTCATAGACCCATCCGCTGACACGTCCACTCCCAAATATCTGAATACATTCACATCCTCCATACTCCTCTCCTCCAATCTGATATCCAATCTTTCATCACCTAATATTTTTGTTATCCTCATAACCTTACTCTTTCCTGTATTCACTTTTAATTTTCTTGTTTTGCACACCCTACCAAATTCATCCACCAATCTCTGCAACTTCTCTTCAGAATCTCCCAAGAGCACAGTGTCATCAGCAAAGAGCAACTGTGACAACTCCCACTTTATGTGTGATTCTTTATCTTTTAACTCCACGCCTCTTGTCAAGACCCTCGCATTTACTTCTCTTACAACCCCATTTTTTTTTTTTTTTTTTTTTTTTTTTCAACAAGTCGGCCGTCTCCCACCGAGGCAGGGTGACCCAAAGAGAAAGAAATCCCCAAAAAGAAAATACTTTCATCATCATTCAACACTTTCACCTCACTCACACATAATCACTGATTTTGCAGAGGTGCCCAGAATTCAACAGCTTAGAAGTTATTTTTTTTTATTATCACACTGGCCGATTCCCACCAAGGCAGGGTGGCCCGAAAAAGAAAAACTTTCACCATCATTCACTCCATCACTGTCTTGCCAGAAGGGTGCTTTACACTACAGTTTTTAAACTGCAACATTAACACCCCTCCTTCAGAGTGCAGGCACTGTACTCCCATCTCCAGGACTCAAGTCCGGCCTGCCGGTTTCCCTGAATCCCTTCATAAATGTTACTTTGCTCACACTCCAACAGCACGTCAAGTATTAAAAAACCATTTGTCTCCATTCACTCCTATCAAACAACGCTCACGCATGCCTGCTGGAAGTCCAAGCCCCTTGCACACAAAACCTCCTTTACCCCCTCCCTCCAACCCTTTTCCTAGGCCGACCCTACCCCCCGCCTTCCTTCCACTACAGACTGATACACTCTTGAAGTCATTCTGTTTCGCTCCATTCTCTCTACATGTCCGAACCACCTCAACACCCTTCCTCACCCTCTGGACAACAGTTTTGGTAATCCCGCACCTCCTCCTAACTTCCAAACTACGAATCTCGCATTATATTCACACCACACATTGCCCTCAGACATGACATCTCCACTCCCCTCCAGCCTTCTCCTCGCTGCAACATTCATCACCCACGCTTAAACACCCATAATAAGAGCGTTGGTAAAACTATACTCCATACATTCCCCTCTTTGCCTCCAAGGACAAAGTCTTTGTCTCCACAGACTCCTAAGTGCACCATCCACTCTTTTTCCCTCATCAATTCTATGATTCACCTCATCTTTCATAGACCCTTTCCGCTGACACGTCCACTCCCAAAAAACTGAATACTTTCACCTCCTCCATACTCTCTCCCTCCAATCTGATATCAATCTTTCATCACCTAATCTTTTTGTTATCCTCATAACCTTACTCTTTCCTGTATTCACCTTAATTTTCTTCTTTGCACACCCTAACCAAATTCATCCACCAATCTCTGCAGCTTCTCTTCAGAATCTCCCAAGAGCACAGTGTCATCAGCAAAGAGCAGCTGTGACAACTCCCACTTTGTGTGATTCTTTATCTTTTAACTCCACGCCTCTTGCCAAGACCCTCGCATTTACTTCTCTTACAACCCCATCTATAAATATATTAAACAACCACGGTGACATCACACATCCTTGTCTAAGGCCTACTTTTATTTTATTATTATTATTATTAGGATTTTAAGCCATATGAGAACTTGGGATGTGGAAACAGGCAGTGCAGCGTCTCAGTGTCAAATATCATGGTCTCCTTCCTACAGCCACTCCGTACATTAGCTTTCACTGTCTCCAAGACTACATATTTGTACAAAATTGCACTTTATATGCATCCCATAATACAAGATGTCAGCAAAAAGGAACATCTGGACTTCACCTCAAACAAGTGCCAAGAAACAAACACTCTCGAGCTCAGGTGAAAATGAAGATATAGAAGATATGGAAGATGGGTTACAAATACAAGTAAATCAAATGACTTGAAGCTGGCGAAATTCTACCATTCCCACTATCTTGAAGGATAGAGATAGAGTGAGAGAGCCAGTGAAACCATCGACGGGATTTCCAGCCGTAATAACTGGGCAACGTTAGAGTAATAAGGACGCCCGAATAAATAAAAACTGACATGTATGGAGAACTATTAGAGGGCGTGCTAGGCTGCATGAGAGAGACAGGGACAAGGCACCAGCAATTTCCTCTCAGTAACCATGCTTCACCATCATGTACAAATGCGTAAGCTCACAGCACTATAAAATATTGTATAATTATACTATTATCATCAATAAACATTATCTACCCATCATAGGTATAACAAAAATAATTTACAAGCATGATAAAGACATCCAAATGAATAAAAACTGACATTACATAGAGAGGTATTGAAGGTTAGAAAACCAGGATAAAACAAAATAACCTTCACCATAACAAAAAACATTACATGCCTCCAGGGTAGCAATACAAACTCATTCTTACCCTATGCAAAGACTGAAAAAGTGCTTTTTTCTCAAACAAATTATTTTCCCACGCAATTGGCCATGCACGCATCTCCTGGAATATCTCAGAAGTAAATTGTCGACCTATTTCGCATTGTATTACTGTCGATAAAAACGGATCGAGAGGAATTTCCCGGCAAACGTAAAACTGAATGTTTCAATTTTGGGCAGTGACACTTTTCAAGTGTCAGTGAGGGGTGATTCCTCGATTGGCGACAAATCATTTACCGACGGGGTCTTGGGCCTTTGACTTTGCCGTTACTCGGTCGTTAAGTGAGGAGAAGCCATATTAAAAATAGGCACCAGACTTGTAAGGTCAGAATGCTTATTACCAGTAGAAATACAAAAAAATACTTGATATTTCTGGTTTCTTCTCACCTCTTCCCAAGCTTGATAAACACCCCTGAAGCTGGCTGGCTGGCTGGCTGCTTGATGCTGTGGAAAGTGCCGCAGTTACCGTGAAGAACAAAGATGCCTCGCTTCTCTGCTGCCTTGCATATGCTCGTGTATGTGCATTAATCGGGGCCAAGATTGTATTCCCATCCATAAACATACAACTTGTCTGAAAAAAATATGAATCTGACAAACTACAGCATCTATAATTAACATTATACAGAGCAGTAATTTTTCAATGAGAGCAAAAATTCAAATGTTATATAAACTGGATTTTATGTTTCAATGGACAGGTGGGGGAGTTATGGTTTGGATAGACATTCACACTGTCAAGTACCAGACAGCCCCACTTATACATCAGGTTAGGTTCCAGGCTACTGCTGTAAAGCAAAAATATCGGCAAAATCAAACACAGTCCTTTTTTTTTTACTTTAAAATGCATATAAAAGCCTGACAACATGTCTATACTATAAAATACCGACAATATGAAAGTTAAGACACACGTGCAACATCTGGATATCTTTATTGTAGACGTTTCGCCATCCAGTGGCTTTATCAATACAGATTCTAGGACATAATAGGAAGACAGTAGAACTATATACAAAAGATGAGGTAATCAGTCCCTCGGCCTTTTGTATATAGTTCTACTGTCTTCCTATTATGTCCAGGAATCTGTATTGATAAAGCCACTGGATGGCGAAACGTCTACAATAAAGATATCCAGATGTTGCACGTGTGTCTTAACTTTCATGTCTATACTATCATATATTAAGTGAGCAATAAAACTAGGCCTAAAAAAAATACATATACAGTACACACATTACTTACCTTCAAATATTTTCATCCTTAGCTTATAGTAAGTGGTGAATATATTTATTGTAACAAGTCTGAATAAATGAACAATGGTTATAATTGAAAACCGCTGTATTAGTGAAGCACTGTAAAGTAGGGCCCACCTGTACACAAGTGAATGAGTGATTCTTCAAATTATCCTCCCATCGTAACAAATAACACCGTACGATTAAAAACGTGTCGTTAGCACGTGCGGTGGTCCCTCGATAATTGTAAGGCGTAACTCTCGAAAGCCGTAACGTTATTCTCGTCGAAATGTCGGCTCGCAAACATTCCTTTGTCTGGGACGCGTACGCAGGAACCCGAGCCGCCTCGGATTCCGTTCCCGGCTGGTGTGCCGTTGTTTATCGGTGAGTGAGGATGATCCTGCGAGATCACACGATGCATTTCGCGATATTCCGTTCCTTTTAGCACTTGCAACCGCTAAATAAATCACCACGGCTCCAAAGAAAGCTTCTAGTGCCAGCCCTCTGGTAAAGAATATGAGAGACGTATAATTCAAGAAAAAGTTTGTACGAAAATACATAGGTGGTGGTGGTGTTGGTACAGTGGAAACGGTTGTAATAGTGGTAGAGGGTGGTAGTGATGGTGGTAGAGGGTGGTAGTGGTTGTGATGGTAGTAGAAGGTGCCTTCTTCAGTGATTCAGCAATTTACCAACTCCTCCAATGTTGTTGGAGTTATACAGGGCTACAGAAAACACTGCCACCTTGGCTGCTGCTTCACCACCATTATAGACGGCTTATTCTTAACGGCCCTTATACACCAAACAACAACAACACAACATCTCTCGTATCATATGTAATCGCTTATTTTACTCATTCTAGAGTATATTCCATGTGTCTATGTTATTAATATTGTTTATTATGTCATATCAGTTGAATTGTGATATATAAATAAGCCTCAGAGTTGATATTAGTGTTGTATTCTCCGACAATGAACTTGCCTCCCCTCCCTCTGCCATACACCAACGAAAATCTTCAATAAACACCCTACCTGAAAATTCCAAAACTGCAGACACATTCATCACCTTCAAAACTACCATCAGAAAACATCTTATCTCCCTGATACACCCTGTCAACTAATAATACAAATACCACCTGGTGGTTCACACTTACACTCACTCACCCATTTGACCATAAAAAGAAATATCAATCTCAATCTCAAAATAATGAATCCAACAGTCATAATTTTGGGCCCGTGAACCCAAACTGAACTAGTAAGGCCCAAAAAAAAAGCATTCCATTTCTAAAACCACAAACTAGTATTTATCCCTTAGCCCTAAAACCCAAATTATCCATAATTTTGTAACATTTTAAACCTAAAATTTAAAAATAATCTGCCCAAAATGCCTACCTGCTAGGGGTTCAGTGGACACTCTGTAATGCCAGCCATGCAGCTCTGTGGACACTCTGTAATTTTATTTTACTACATTAAACCACACAAAACCAAATTTTTGTAAACCAGATGTAATACTTATGAGAAAAAAGTTTGAATTGAATTTAATAAAAGATAAGTTGGGTGTTAAATTTCTTTTTCATTTTTTTACTGCTTTACATTTTTTGGCATTCTTTTCGCATGTAAAAATTATTTAACTAGGGGAAAAGACCCCGAAATGACCTAGTCCTTTTGGAGGGGGATTCCCCTTCCAAACAATAACCTCTCTTCCCTCTCAACTCTTCTCTGTCTTCCATTCATCATCAACAACAACAACAACAACAACCTTCAATAAAGGTATCTGTCATGTTGAATGTTCATTGTTTTGTGCATGTAAATCTATCGTTAACGTAAAAAAAAAAAAATTGTTGTTGATACTTCTGGGTGTCTGGAACAAATTAATTAGATTGACATTATTTCTTATGGAGAAAGTGAATAAAAAAATTCTTCAATTTTGTTATCAAAATTGATAAGGGATTAATTACAAAAAACAAGGGACCACTGTATATGCATTCTTCAACTTGTAATCTGTATGATACCTGTACATATTGTATTAGATATTTTCAACAGCGTGTTGGGTCACAACCACTCGCCTACACTTACTTGTACAGTATATTAAAATTATATTCTCTCACAATGGAATACAGTGTGAAGATCTTACCTGGATGATAGTGAAAGATAATATTGATGATATCTTGATCTCCCCAGGTAATAGCTTGCTTGTAGTATGTGTTTGTAAATTGGAACCACGTATTCCTCCCGGCCAAATTTGCATAATCGGCTTAAATTCGTGAGCGTTACACCTGAATTTACACCTGCAATTAATGCACTATTTACTTTATGTAAAAATAAATTCACGTACTATATCACATTTTAATTGCTGTACTATGAAAAGTAGAATATAACAAAACCTATAACTATTTTCATTAATAGAATACCCAAGCTGTTAACACTTGACTAACACTTACGTATGTACCGTCTTGTAAAATTATAAAAATCATTATTATTTTACTATTATTATTAATACTATAATTATTACATAAGAAGGGATTCAGGGAAACCGGTTATTTTCATATAGTCGGACTTGAGTCCTGGAAATGGGAAGTACAATGTCTGCACTCTAAAGGAGTGGTTTGGGATATTAGCAGTTCGGAGGGATATGTTGTGTATCTTTATACGTATATGCTTCTAAACTGTTGTATTCTGAGCACCTCTGCAAAAACAGTGATAATGTGCGAGTGTGGTGAAAGTGTTGAATGATGATGAAAGTATTTTCTTTTTGGGAATTTTCTTTCTTTTTTGGGTCACCCTGCCTCGGTGGGTCACCCTGCCTCGGTGGGTCACCCTGCCTCGGTGGGTCACCCTGCCTCGGTGGGTCACCCTGCCTCGGTGGGTCACCCTGCCTCGGTGGGAGACGGCCGACTTGTTAAAAAAAAAAAATATTTTCAACATCTATATATAAAACCTTTTTTCTGCATATAACAGCCCTTTATTATACCTTATTTATTTACTCAGTAACTACTATTAACTTCTATTTTTTTATATTAACATAGTGGCTGTTTCCAGAGGCAGGGTGACCCGAAAGAGATGAAGCGCTTTCGTCGTTCTTCACGCCATCCCTGTCTTGCCTACACTGCAGTTAAAAAACAGCAACATATCAACACCCCTCCTTCAGAGTACAGACACTGTACTTTCCACCTCCAGGACTCGAGTCCAGCTAACCAGTTTTACTGAACCCCTTCACAAATATTACTTTGCTCACATTCCAACGACAAGTCAAACCATAAAAACCATTCGTCTCCAGTTGCTATCTAACACGCTCGCGCGTGCATGGTGCAAGTCCAAACCCCTCACACACAAAACCCTGCTAACCCCCTCCCTCCAACGTTTCCTAGGCCAACCCCTACCCCCACCTTCCTTCCACTGCAAATTTATATGCCCTCTGCATTATATTCACCACACATTGACCTCAGACATGACATCTCCACTGCCTCTGCCCTTCTCCTTGTTGCAGCGTTCACGACCGTTGCTTCATGCCCGTATACGAGTGTCGGTATGACAATAGCCTCGTACATTTCCCTCTTTGCTTCCACGTACAAAGTTCTTTGTCTCCGCACATTCCTCAGTGCACCACTCACCTCTTTACCTTTGTCATTTCTACGATTAGCGTCGTCTTCCACTTACAAGTCCACTCCCAAATATCTGAATACATTCACCTCCTCTTCCACACTCTTTCCCTCAAATCTGATATCCACTTATTCATTACCTAAACTTTTGTTATCCTTATCACCTTGCTCTTTCCTACATTTCTCAGTAGTACCAGTAACCAGTTACCAGTGTCAGTAATGACTCACTAACAACTGTCTGTGTGAATAACTTGTTATTCACTGTTGCACCTGACCTTGCATGTTTTTGAATGCCGCTCACCCTTAGACATCATTCGTGAGGCAGTCTAGAGTGAGGGAGCAGAGATGGGTGAGCGGCATTCAAAAACATGCCATGGTCAGCTGCAACAGTGAATAACGAGTGATTCACACAGACGGTTGGTAGTGAGTCACTACTAACACTGGTAACTGGTTACCGGTATGGTACTACTGAGACGTTCACTTTTAATTTCCTTCTTTTACGTGCCCTAACAAACTCGTTCGCCAACCTCTGCAGCTACATTTTTAATTAAAAACTTGTTGCCACTGGGAGTTGGCTACATGTATTATTCCCATGGAGAATCGCTAAGCCTGCAGAGGTTATTCAGTAACTGACGAATAGCATGTAATTGGACTTCATACAAAATAGTGGAGGGTTGTTTCAATTCCTTAAATCAAAAGCCCTTCAAAATATCCACTTAGAGGGTACTTCACAATGCAAAGAAACACACACAGACACAAAAATAAAAATAAGAAATGCCCTATATTTTTAGTGTGTTACTGAGGTCCTCTTCAGCAGACTCCTGAAAAAGACCATTGCACTGAGGCAAAATATATGTATGCTATTCATAAGACAAAGGAAATCTTACCAGAGACAAAAACAGTAAGAATGGTAGTCAGTATATGTACACCTCCAGTTAAAGTATTTATTATGTTTATGTTGCACTATTCTTATATTTTGTCTTATTTATTCCATGCAGGCTATTACATTCATTGCAAGGTACATACTTAACCTGCATGGGTCATATGGACCTTAGAGAATGGAAGGTAATCAGGTCTGATGCCAAGGGGGAACAAATCTTTTAATGGTTCTGTTTATTACCTTCCCCATGGCCAGTCTCAGACCAGGCTTCCTAGCTTGAAGATAAGATAAGATAAGATAAGATTTCGTTCGGATTTTTAACCCCGGAGGGTTAGCCACCCAGGATAACCCAAGAAAGTCAGTGCGTCATCGAGGACTGTCTAACTTATTTCCATTGGGGTCCTTAATCTTGTCCCCCAGGATGCGACCCACACCAGTCGACTAACACCCAGGTACCTATTTGCTGCTAGGTGAACAGGACAACAGGTGTAAGGAAACGTGTCGAAATGTTTCCACCCGCCGGGAATCGAACCCGGGCCCTCCGTGTGTGAAGCGGGAGCTTTAGCCACCAGGCCACCGGGCCTGTGAATGTAGTGAATGTAAGCAGAGGTTTGCAATACACACCTGTCATTTTACCTGTTCATGAGACAAAGTGCAGAACATCAATCCAACCTTAGTTGTAATGCCTTAATTTGTTTTTTGTATACCTTTTTTTGTCCATGAACATAAGCAAATAATAATAATTGCTACTGTAGTCTTAAGTCAGGCTTAAGCTTGCCCAAAATACTACTTTGTATAACCGTGGGTTTTCTCCGTGCAGAATCAAATGTTGCCCGTCTCTATACAAACGTTGCATCGTGTGGAAATTTGACCTTGATTTTTTTTTTAACACATCAGCCATGTCCCACCAAGGCAGGGTGATCCAAGAGAGAAAAATACTTTCACCACCATTCGACACTTTCACCATCAATCACGCATAATCGCTGCCTTTGCCGAGGCGCTCGGATATGGCAGTTTACATGTCACTCCAAACGGCCAACATCCCAAACCCCTCCTTCAAATTAAGTGCAGAAAATGTGGTTCCCACCTCCAGGACTTAAAGTCCAGTTAACCAGTTTCCATGAAACCCTTCACAAAATATTACCCTGCTCACACTCCAACAGCTCATCAGCTCCCAAAAATAACTTTACATATTTTTAACATTTTAAAATTACTAATCAATGCGACAGGTTCGAACCGATGAACTTCGACGAGAAACAATAGACCGAATGCACCGGGCCGTGTGGCCAGTACAAACTGAATGAGATTCTATTTCGCAGTTGTCTGACAGGATGGTAGTTCCTCCCTCGATGGCTGCTACCAATCTACAACCTGTGAGCATCGGTTCTATGGATTAATCTCCATCCTTTCACAAGCAGCAAAAGACCACCTGTGAAATGTCTAAACATGGCTTCACTTGTACTCTGCATAACCATGGCCTTAAACACAGACTCCAGTGTCACCTATTTCTGTATCAACACTGAATCATGTTGAAATAAACTAGTACATATAAATTTATATCTACCAACATAAAATGATAACGTACGCTCAAGAAGAGTACGTACGTACTTTCGTGAAGAGTATGCACAAGAGTGAAGAGCACGTCAATTTATGAAGAGTACGTACAAGCATGAAGAGCACGTAAATTTATGAAGAGTACATACGAGCACAAAGAGCACGTAAATTCGTTCGTGAAGAGTACGTACGGGCATGAAGAGTCTCTGGGATGAACAAGGCTTGTCGAGTTTCCTCCATGCTGATGCATCTTCTCCTGGTGGGAAGGTGATGCTGTGAATGTTTTGAGATAGTTTCTCTCCCTCACTTCTGCTGGCCACGATGCATGCTGTAACATAACAACCACTATGACAGAATTTGATAAGACAAGTGAAAGCCAAATTTCAAAACATTTCTTAGAAATGGAAAAATGGTTGGCAAAAGCATTTCAGAATTTTGGGGGATCTTTCATCAGAGAAATTTAAAAAAATATAGAAAAAAGTCACATACAGGAGAGAAACATTATGATGGTCCATCCTGCATTATTGTCAATAATCAAGACGCAATCAAAGCTTTGTCATAAGGCTCCTCCACTAAGTGCAGGTTACTGGCATATTGTTTCAGAAACAGTATTTTGACTTATTATTATCCTTCTTTAGAAAAAACACAAGGGTCTTACCAGAGGCTCATGTTGAGAACATTTCTGACATACAGTCAAGTTTCAACATAATGAACTAATAGGGAGAATTTTCCAAGCATCTTACATCAGAAAAACGTAAAACAAAACAAAAAATAAGTGGAAAAAGCACTGAAGTATGTATTCTACTGTATACCTAATATAGTACACTGCAGTAGCCTGGAACCTAACCTGTATTATAAGTGGGGCCTTCCTGTACTGCAGTAGTCTGGAACCTAACCTGTTGTATAAGTGGGGCCTTCCTGTACTGCAGTAGTCTGGAACCTAACCTGTTGTATAAGTGGGCCCTCCTGTACTGCAGTAGTCTGGAACCTAACCTGTTGTATAAGTGGGGCCTTCCTGTACTGCAGTAGCCTGGAACCTAACCTGTTGTATAAGTGGGCCCTCCTGTACTGCAGTAGCCTGGAACCTAACCTGTTGTATAAGTGGGGCCCTCCTGTACTGCAGTAGCCTGGAACCTAACCTGTTGTATAAGTGGGGCCTTCCTGTACTGCAGTAGCCTGGAACCTAACCTGTTGTATAAGTGGGGCCCTCCTGTACTGCAGTAGCCTGGAACCTAACCTGATGTATAAGTGGGGCCCTCCTATACTGCAGTAGCCTCTAACCTAACCTGTTGTATAAGTGGGGCCTTCCTGTACTGCAGTAGTCTGGAACCTAACCTGTTGTATAAGTGGGGCCCTCCTGTACTGCAGTAGCCTGGAACCTAACCTGTTGTATAAGTGGGGCCTTCCTGTACTGCAGTAGTCTGGAACCTAACCTGTTGTATAAGTGGGGCCCTCCTGTACTGCAGTAGCCTGGAACCTAACCTGTTGTATAAGTGGGGCCTTCCTGTACTGCAGTAGTCTGGAACCTAACCTGTTGTATAAGTGGGGCCCTCCTGTACTGCAGTAGCCTGGAACCTAACCTGTTGTATAAGTGGGGCCCTCCTGTACTGCAGTAGTCTGGAACCTAACCTATTGTATAAGTGGGGCGTTCCTGTACTGCAGTAGTCTGGAACCTAACCTGTTGTGTAAGTGGGCCCTCCTGTACTGCAGTAACCTGGAATCTAACCTGTTGTATAAGTGGGGCCCTCCTGTACTGCAGTAGCCTGGAACCTAACCTGTTGTATAAGTGGGGCCCTCCTGTACTGCAGTAGTCTGGAACCTAACCTGTTGTATAAGTGGGGCCCTCCTGTACTGCAGTAGCCTGGAACCTAACCTGTTGTATAAGTGGGGCCCTCCTGTACTGCAGTAGTCTGGAACCTAACCTGTTGTGTAAGTGGGGCCCTCCTGTACTGCAGTAGCCTTCCCTGGGCAGCTGTGTGGGCATAATGTCTATGCTGCACACTAGTACCCTGGGGCCCTTGAAGCTGTAACAGGGTTCCACAATATTAATCACAATGTATGATTTACATGTTATAGAATATTGTTAAGTACAAAGAAAGCCACTAACTTTGCCTGTCGTTATTTCTCTCACTATCTTTACTTGTGTACCTGTTAGTGTCTTTATTCTGGTCAGCGTCGTAGAGACAGAAGGGCGTGTCAATGGTGGTACACTTTGTCACGAACTCTCTAGATCCTCCAGGATCTGCTGAGACGTCACAGATGGCCAGCATCCTGTGTGGCAGTGATGGTGAACCTCTCTGTAATAACCAACATCATCTTCATTATCATAATAATAATAATTAGTATGTGGTTTTTTTTGTACATGATTATCTATTTAGAGACCACAGTATGTCTATCAGTGGACACCGAGGGGAATGAGTCTAAATTTTATTTTGTGGATTATTACTATTATTATTACTATTATTATATTCAAAATAGGCACTAAGTCTGTATGTAAGGAACTGAGAAATACAAATAGGTGAGAATAGGCAGACAGAGAGGAAGAAAAAGGCTGTGGGTCCAAGATTGCTGAGTAGATGTGCAGACCAGCTAGCAGCACCTCTAACTCACATCTATCAGCAGTGCCTAGCAGTGTAAATGGCCTTCTCTGTGGAAAGAAGCAAATGTATTTCCCTGTTCACAAAAGGAAGAGCAGAATGGAAATCAAAAACCACAGACTTGTGTCAGTTTTATTAATCACTGGCAAGATTCCTGAGACAATAACCTCACAACGAATGAGGATGAGTTTTTCCACTACCATTCACTTCTTTGTGACCGTCAATATGGCTTCAGAAAAGGTTACTCGTCTGCTGATCTGTTGTTAAACTTCTCCACTAAGTGGAGCCAGTCGCTAGATGAATCCACACTCAGCTGTGTAGTAACACTGGACATTGCTACATTTCCACCGAGTATGGCACCAGGGACTCTTGGCAAAACTGCAAGCACTAGGAGTCACCAGCTAGATCTACACTATGTCTTCTCATTGATTACCTCCAAGGTATATCTCTAAGTGTAGTTCTAAGTGGAACTGAGTTAACAAGACACACTACTAGTGCCAGTGTATCACAGGGAAGTGTGCTTATGCTATTGTTATGGAATGTTTATTTCAATGACCTTCAGCTCATTCTAGAATCCCATGCATATAGAGATCACTGTACTCTAACATTCACTTATCCAGGAGAGGAAATGCTAGCTCTTCTACATTACATCAATCACCAGCTTACAGCTATATTAGCCTAGGAAAAATGATGGCAGGTTGCATTTGCTTCTAAGAAAACACAGATGATGGTCTCTAGGCACCGTGACAGTAATGCTGGAGCAGCGGTAAGAATGAATGGGAGAGTGTTGGTACCCTGAGATGAGGCTGATATCCTTGGGGTAAAATTTGACTCTAAACAGTAGAGGCCGCAAGACTCTTTACGAGGCAAGACTGCGTACACCTTGAGTATACTCCACTTTCTTGGATTGCCTGCCCCATGTCTCATCTGTGATTTCTTGACAGAATAGAGAACAGAGCAAGATGACTTATCTCTCGTCTGAACCCAGCCTGGACAGATCCATCATTTCAACAGCCTTCAACACTGCAGGGATGTGGGCTGCCTTACTGTTGTAGACAAGGCCAATAGTGTCAAAGTATTTCCACTCCAAGAACAGCAAGAAGTGAGCTTCTACACCGCAAGACAGCCAGCAAGCAGCAACTACACTCCCACTGTACCCTACTCCAGAACATCACTTCATCTGAGATCATTTATTCCTAAGATGATTCTAAAATGGAACATGTTCATACAACATAACATAACTGAAATAAAGTCAGATGACCAAATGAAATTGCTGGCCCACATATGCCTCCAATTTCATTCTGTTTGTAAGTAAGCTACAGGTACACTTAAGTAAAATTACCATACATATTTGTAAAATACCCACCAGGATAACTCAAAAAGTCAAAATCCATTGTGGTCATAAAATAAAAAGGTTTTCAAATGAGTTGAAGTTAAGTAACAGCTCTTGTAAATAAAGATAGCAACTTTTAACCCAACCCTTTAAATATCCTTGTGTAAATATAAAGAAACTTACACTCGTAGGGAGCCAGAGTGTATATAGGCTGCAGGAGGAACTTGGCATCAGGGATGGTTAGAAGTTTGGGCGAGTTCACTGCCCCGTATATACCACTGATGATCAACGTGGCACATGGCACCACCAGAGTGTATATAGGCTGCAGGAGGAAGCTGGCATCAGGGATGGTCAGAAGTTTGGGCGAGTTCACTGCCCCGTATATACCACTGATGATCAACGTGGCACATGGCACCACCAGAGTGTATATAGGCTGCAGGAGGACCCTGGCATCAGGGATGGTCAGAAGTTTGGGCGAGTTCACTGCCCCGTATATACCACTGATGATCAACGTGGCACATGGCACCACCTGAAACAACAAGTGAAATGAATAAAAACATATACAAGTTCTATATACAGTGAAGATATATACAAGTTCTAGTATATACTTTGAAAATATATACAAACTCTACATACAGTGAAAAGTTGTATGATTCAGAGTTGGCCTACCATACTCTTGCCATTGTTTAGTAAGAAAATTATCTTACAACCAAGAAAACTGTTCTTATGACCAAGAAAATGACTTTATGATAAGAAATTAACTTGGTGAGCAGGACAATGACCTTGTGAGCAGGACAATGACCTTGTGAGCAGGGAAATGACCTTGTAAGCAGGACAATGACCTTGTGAGTAGGGCAATAACCTTGTAAGCAGGACAATGACCTTGTGAGTAGGGCAATAACCTTGTAAGCAGGACAATGACCTTGTGAGTAGGGCAATAACCTTGTAAGCAGGACAATGACCTTGTGAGTAGGCAATAACCTTGTAAGCAGACAATGACCTTGTGAGTAGGGCAATAACCTTGTAAGCAGGACAATGACCTTGTGAGTAGGGCAATAACCTTGTAAGCAGGACAATGACCTTGTGAGTAGGGCAATAACCTTGTAAGCAGGACAATGACCTTGTGAGCAGGACAATGACCTTGTATGCAGGATGACCTTGTGAGCAGGACAATGACCATGTAAGCAGGACAATGACCTTATAAGGAATGGGAAAGAAAATGTAACAGAGGAAGTGGGAGCCAAATAACAACCAGGGAGCGACTCCCACGGAGCACGACTGTGAAAGAGAAGCACGGAGTTACTTAACACTACGAATGATGTAGTCCAAGCTTTGGTCGTTAAAATTTAATATAAATATCTCACCTCCTAGGTGTCTGGGAAGGAAAAACTGGGTTTAGCTTCTCTCCTAGGTATCCTAGAAGAGGAGAAAAACATGCCTTACTTTCCCAGTATTAGAATGGAGGAGGCCTACAATAATGACCTACTTATAGGCATTGGAGTAGACCAGCGAAGAGGCGGGGCCAGGAGAGACGACTCGCCCCTGCAACCACAAATAGGCGAGTACACACAAACTGGAATGTACTAGTGAAGACACTGAGCACAGAAAAGACAGAACACAATTTAAATCTTTCTGCAGTTTAAGTACTAAGGTGAGCAAAAAATTCTAACTCTGTGAGAAAAGACAGATGTATCTCTCAGGATGTTCTTCATATTCGACAGCATTGTACTGTCCACTGTCTTGATGAATCAAGTGATCGCAGCGGCTCACCTCTCAACAGTAAATGTTGTTGGTCGCTGCTCACAGAAAAAAATAACTAAGTCACACAGGGGAAATAAACATGGCATGGTTTGTGACCAGTTAGTGGTGGAGGTTTGAGCCTTCACCCAGTAATCCAACTGGTGTGGGTCGCATCCTGGGGACAAAATTACCGTATCTCACAGCTTATGACTTGTTTTATTTCAATGGTTCAGCATCGGATATAACTGGGAGAGCTACAGCCCATCCCACAACCCAACTTACAACTCCCATAACTGACCTTCAGTTTATAGAATGCAGTGATTTTTGGGAGACGTTTTATGGGGAAAAAATGCATCTAATAAGCCACAAAATACAATAACCTAAGTTGCAGGAAATGCTCTGCATAACAAGGGATTTTCTATATACTGTACATAGTAGTATGTCACTAATGTTAGCTATGGTCTGTATACCTTGTACAGTTAGTCCTTGACTTACAAACACATTGAGAATCTTGTGTATTATATCATTACAGGAGGCCCTCCATATTAGAGAGTGTTGGGGATCGAGAACCTCGCAAAGCTTGAAAATTCACAAATGTTTGGTGCACAAATATGATGTAGGGAAATATAATAATACTGTACTGTAGCAGTCGCAAATGTTTTTATGTGCAAATACATTGCAGGGAATATTAATAATAGCATTTACTTCGCCTAACAATATTGCTGCCTTAACCTATTGAACCACAAAATATCATAAAACACATGAAAACTTCATAAATTATTGCATAAACATGTTATGATTGGGTGGCTGGGCATTCACGAATATTCGAAGCTATCGAAAGTGGAACTCACAAAAGTGGAGGGCTAGCTATATTGTGTATATTATACACTACAGAAAGTCCCCAACGTGTTCTTAAGTTGAAGACTTCCTCTATTATGAATATTTTAGACAATACACGAGATTCTTGACGTGTTTATAAGTCAAGGATTTACTATAGGTACATGTACTTGCAGAGATAGATTATTATTATCATTATTATTATTAATCATGTTAAACAATTCTTACAACCAAAACACTCACCCAGTCTTTATTTTCAAGCAACAACATGATCAAAAATTTAGAATTACAGCAACAGTAGAAACATCACTGTTAAAGGCACAGGAAAGTGCTCCTTGACTTATAATGGGGTTATGTTCCAAAGAACCCATCGTAAGTTGAAAATATTGCAGTAGAATATAAATACAGTGGACCCCCGGTTAACGAACTTTTTTCATTCCAGTAGTATGTTCAGGTGCCAGTACTGACCGAATTTTTTCCCATAAGGAATATTGTGAAGTAGATTAGTCAATTTCAGACCCCCAAACATACACGTACAAACGCACTTACATAAATACACTTACATAATTGGTCGCATTTGGAGGTGATCGTTAAGCGGGGGTCCACTGTATATGCTAAATAAATAACAAATTAATAACTACTGTCACTGAACCAGTAAATAATCAAATAATTACTGTAATACAGCCTCTCCTCACTTAGCGACGTACTCGTTTACCAACGCCACCCAGGATAGGGAGGGTTAGCCAGCCAGGGTAGTGCGTGCTAGCCACCCAGGATAATCCAGGGTAGGGAGTGTTAACCACTCAGGATAACCCAGGGTAGGGAGTGTTAACCACTCAGGATAACCCAGGGTAGGGAGTGTTAGCCACCCAGGATAACCCAGGGTAGGGAGTGTTAGCCACTCAGGATAACCCAGGGTAGGGAGTGTTAGCCACTCAGGATAACCCAGGGTAGGGAGTGTTAGCCACCCAGGATAACCCAGGGTAGGGAGTGTTAGCCACCCAGGATAACCCAGGGTAGGGAGTGTTAGCCACCCAGGATAACCCAGGGTAGTGAGGGTTAGCCACCCAGGTTAACCCAGGGTAGGGAGTGTTAGCCACCCAGGATAACCCAGGGTAGGGAGTGTTAACCACTCAGGATAACCCAGGGTAGGGAGTGTTAACCACTCAGGATAACCCAGGGTAGGGAGTGTTAGTCACCCAGGATAACCCAGGGTAGGGAGTGTTAGCCACTCAGGATAACCCAGGGTAGGGAGTGTTAGCCACTCAGGATAACCCAGGGTAGGGAGTGTTAGCCACCCAGGATAAACAAGGGTAGGGAGGGTTAGCCACCCAGGATAACTCAGGGTAGGGAGTGTTAGCCACCCAGGTTAACCCAGGGTAGGGAGTTAGCCACCCAGGTTAACCCAGGGTAGGGAGGGTTAGCCACCCAAAGTAACCCAGGGTAGGGAGTGCTAGCCACCCAGGATAACCCAGGGTAGGGAGTGTTAGCCACCCAGGATAACCCAGGGTAGGGAGTGTTAGCCACCCAGGTTAACCCAGGGTAGGGAAGGTTAGCCACCCAGGATAACCAAGGGTAGGGAAGGTTAGCCACCCAGGGTAACCCAGGGAAGGGTGTTAGCCACCCAGGATGTTACAAAAAATGTGATTTCTAATAAGCTTAGAGATCTCCAGGTAATACTAGAAAGTACTGCCCTTCTAGCATCCAGCCTGTTACTGGGTTTTCATAACAAGTAGTCAGTATCCTGGTCCAATTATCCATTAGAATTCAATAAGAATTATTAGTGCTTCAGAATTACAACTGGTAGGCTACTAACTAAAGAAATTAAAATTTAATAAATTTATTAATAACAAAGTCTAGAGGTATAAGATTAAAGTAAATTAAATTAATCAATTGAATATAATATAGGATTCAAGTTGCTACATGCCCATGCACTCTGCCCCAGGGCCAGACTCATGGAACTTCGTGTTCATCAAGAACTGCAAGAAGCCCCTATCACGAGCCTTTTCCATCCTATGGAGAGGGAGCATGGACACGGGGGTCGTCCCACAGTTACTAAAAACAACAGACATAGCCCCACTCCACAAAGGGGGCAGTAAAGCAACAGCAAAGAACTACAGACCGATAGCACTAACATCCCATATCATAAAAATCTTTGAAAGGGTCCTAAGAAGCAAGATCACCACCCATCTAGAAACCCATCAGTTACACAACCCAGGGCAACATGGGTTTAGAACAGGTCGCTCCTGTCTGTCTCAACTATTGGATCACTACGACAAGGTCCTAAATGCACTAGAAAATAAAAAGAATGCAGATGTAATATATACAGACTTTGCAAAAGCCTTCGACAAGTGTGACCATGGCGTAATAGCGCACAAAATGCGTGCTAATGGGATAACAGGAAAAGTCGGTCGATGGATCTATAATTTCCTCACTAACAGAACACAGAGAGTAGTCGTCAACAGAGTAAAGTCCGAGGCAGCTACGGTGAAAAGCTCTGTTCCACAAGGCACAGTACTCGCTCCCATCTTGTTCCTCATCCTCATATCCGACATAGACAAGGATGTCAGCCACAGCACCGTGTCTTCCTTTGCAGATGACACCCAAATCTGCATGACAGTGTCTTCCATTGCAGACACTGCAAGGCTCCAGGCGGACATCAACCGAATCTTTCAGTGGGCTGCAGAAAACAACATGAAGTTCAACGATGAGAAATTTCAATTACTCAGATATGGTAAACACGAGGAAATTAAATCTTCATCAGAGTACAAAACAAATTCTGGCCACAAAATAGAGCGAAACACCAACGTCAAAGACCTGGGAGTGATCATGTCGGAGGATCTCACCTCAAGACCATAACATTGTATCAATCGCATCTGCTAGAAAAATGACAGGCTGGATAATGAGAACCTTCAAAACTAGGGAGGCCAAGCCCATGATGACACTCTTCAGGTCACTTGTTCTATCTAGGCTGGAATATTGCTGCACACTAACAGCACCTTTCAAGGCAGGTGAAATTGCTGACCTAGAAAATGTACAGAGAACCTTCACGGCACGCATAATGGAGATAAAACACCTCAATTACTGGGAGCGCTTGAGGTTCCTGAACCTGTATTCCCTGGAACGCAGGCGGGAGAGATACATGATTATATACACCTGGAAAATCCTAGAGGGACTAGTACCGAACTTGCACACGAAAATCACTCACTACGAAAGCAAAAGGCTTGGCAGACGATGCAACATCCCCCCAATGAAAAGCAGGGGTGTCACTAGCACGTTAAGAGACCATACAATAAGTGTCAGGGGCCCGAGACTGTTCAACTGCCTCCCAGCATACATAAGGGGGATTACCAACAGACCCCTGGCAGTCTTCAAGCTGGCACTGGACAAGCACCTAAAGTCGGTTCCTGACCAGCCGGGCTGTGGCTCGTACGTTGGTTTGCGTGCAGCCAGCAGCAACAGCCTGGTTGATCAGGCTCTGATCCACCAGGAGGCCTGGTCACAGACCGGGCCGCGGGGGCGTTGACCCCCGGAACTCTCTCCAGGTAAACTCCAGGTAAACTTCTCTCATGTACAGTAGTATTGTGCTGAAGGCACATGTCACATTTATACGTCTTAAGTACCGTCTGGTACATTAACATTTAATAAAAATATATACAAATAAGTGTGTGTATGTGTGTAAGTGCTCTAAGTAGTTCGCTATGTCTCAAGACTCGACTAGACTTAAACCAATGACTGACAAAGTCCTCACATCAATTAACTTCTTGACCACCTGGCAATCAGAACATCTTGCTTGAACAATAAAACGACTGATAAGCCGAACAACAATATAGCAACCAATAGCGACACAATCAGGAACAAGGAGATAATATAACAACACTAAGTAGGGACCATCTGCAGATCCTCCACAAGTCACAAAACTCCCATACTACTGAATCTAAGTTCAGCATAAGAAAATCCCCAGCTGTGACAGTACACAGATACCAGTACAAATTTGGTCAGAAGCAGCAGCTCAGGACCTGAGTTTCTCAGTGTCTATAAGACACACAACCTCAGTACAACGTCGAAAATCACTAAGTCTAGACAATGTTCTGTGAACAGAGTTCCACAGAACCAACAACAAGAAAGCGACAGAGAAGATCTTCCAACAAGGGCCCACAAGAGAGGAGTTGAGGGACCTCCTGCTAGAATGACGTCCAACCGACCAGAGAGTGAGTCAGCCCCGACTGACTACTCCAGGCGAGGTGTGATCACCCCACCTGATCACGTGATCACTCCGTGGACAGCTGCTGCCCAGCAACACCGAGAAGCCGGCAGGGAAACAAGCAACGAACGATAATTACAGTAGTTAGACAATCAAGACTTGAACTATGAGCACTGAATAATATATACATGTGTTACATCCTACCTAACAAAAGTAACTAAGTCAAATAATAATATAAAGCAATATATTTACTATTTAGCTATTATCGCAAATATAAGCAATATAAAATTATAAGAAAAGGTAATATACATTATATACATTGTGACACATTCAGGGGTCACAGTACAGGATAACCCAGGGAAGGGAGGGTTAGCCACCCAGGATAACTCAGGGTAGGGAGTGTTAGCCACCCAGGATAACCCAGGGTAGGGAGTGTTAGCCACCCAGGGTAACCCAGGGTAGGGAGGGTTAGCCACCAAGAATAACCCAGGGTAGGGAGGTTTAGCCACCCAGGGTAACCAAGGGTAGGAAGGGTAAGCCACCCAGGATACCCCAGGGTAGGGAGTGCTAGCCACCCACCAGACCCATGCTGGGTCTGGTGCAGTGCTCCATCCTAGAGTGGAGATGACCAGACTGGGTGGGTCATTGGGCTAATCCGTGGGGGGTCATTGGTCTAATCCGGGGGAGGGGGGACATGGACCTGCTCCACATGGGTCAGTAGGCCCGCTGCAGTGTTCCTTCTTTCTTATGTTCTAATGTTCTTATAACCCAGGGTAGGGAGTGTTAGCCACCCAGGATAACCCAGAGTAAGGAGTGTTAGCTATCCAGGGTAGGGAGGCTTAGCCTCCAAGGATAACCGAGGGTAGGGAGGGTTATCCACCCAGGATAACCCAGAGTAAGGAGTGTTAGCTACCCAGGGTAGGGAGGCTTAGCCTCCAAGGATAATCGAGGGTAGGGAGGGTTAGACACCCAGGGTAACCCAGGGTAGGGAGGGTTAGCCACCCAGGATAACCCAGGGTAGGGACAGTCACATCCTGGTTGTTAGTGGACTGGTGTGGGTTGCATCCTGGGTGTTAGTGGGCTGGTGTGGGTCGCATCCTGGGTGTCAGTGGACTGGTGTGGGTCGCATCCTGGGTGTTAGTGGACTAGTGGGGGTCACATTCTGGGTGTTAGTGGACTGGTGTGGGTCACATCCTAGATGTTAGTGGACTGGTGTGGGTCACATCCTAGGTGTTAGTGGACTGGTGTGGGTCACATCCTAGGTGCTAGTGGACTGGTGTGGGTCGCATCTGGGTGTTAGTGGACTGGTGTGGGTCACATCCTGGGTGTTAGTGGACTGGTGTGTTTCTCATCCTGGGTGTTAGTGGACTGGTGTGGGTTGCACCCTGGGTGTTAGCAGACTGGTGTGGGTTGCATCCTGGGTGTTAGTGGACTGGCATGGGTCGCATCCTGGGTGTTAGTGGACTGGTGTGGGTCACATCCTGGGTGTTAGTGGACTGGTGTGGGTCACATCCTGGGTGTTAGTGGACTGGTGTGGGTGGCATCCTGGGTGTTAGTCAACTGGTGTGGGTGGCATCCTGGGTGTTAGTCGACTGGTGTGGGTCGCATCCTGGTGTTAGTCGACTGGTGTGGGTGCATCCTGGGTGTTAGTCGACTGGTGTGGGTCGCATCCTGGGTGTTAGTCGACTGGTGTGGGTGGCATCCTGGGTGTTAGTCGACTGGTGTGGGTGGCATCCTGGGTGTTAGTCGACTGGTGTGGGTGGCATCCTGGGTGTTAGTCGACTGGTGTGGGTGGCATCCTGGGGGACAAGATTAAGGACCACAATGGAAATAAGTTAAGACAGTCCTTGATGACGCACTGACTTTCTTGGGTTATCCTGGGTGGCTAACCCTCCGGGGTTAAAAATCCCAACAAAATCTTATCTTATCTTAACCAAGAGGGTTCCCTCTGCGCCTGTGCGGATGTGTGGGGGAAGAGGTCGAGACGGGGCATCGAGGAGCGGGAGTGTTCGGAATAGAGTTAAGAAATAACAAAAAAGGCAAAATACCGTGTGTAGAGTTAAGAGGCTGGGAAAGCATGGGACCAGGAAATTGGCATTCATGGCGGCCTAAGGATTAATATAGGCCTTACTTCATAATGGAAGTGTCGTAACTGTTCCTGGTGAAGAGTGAGGGAACATGATTTACGGGACCACCGTAATAAAGTGGCAAAATTAGTGAATAATGGTAGGACCAGTGGTGACTGGCGCGTCGCCATGGAGTGTGTCCCGGGGAAAAATACCCATGATTTAATCGTCACTCATCGGTCTCAGATCTTAATGGAGTGGCCTCCAATGTGTATAATAATTAAACCGTATGGTGGGCTAAGAAGTAATCAGTGATAATAAGACCAAGTTCAGAGAATGTGTGAAGTGAAATGAGTCGCCGCTCTCAGAGTGAGCATCTGTTATCCTCGTGGTTACTGTCCCGAGGATAGTGAAGTTTTTATGGAGTCACGACTTCTAAACCGGGACAAACCGACGGATACCTCGTCCTGCTGGAATAAGAACCGTGTTGGTGTAGCAGGACATCGAAATGAGATGGTGAATGGAGGAAATAAGGAGCATCAGTCACCCACAGTTAAGTAACCCTTCTAGTTATAGCAGACTGATACTGGCCAGTTAGGTATGTTGTAATTGGATAGGTTGTGGGTGATCCAGCTACATCAAGTGACCACCAGAGAATATCTGTCCACAGTTATTTAGTAGCGCCGTACTTGTGGGTGCTATCCAATTTATACTGGTCTCGGATAGATATGGGTAAGATTGTGAGGTCGAAGGGGCCACCTGCAGTGACCAGGGGTGGCAAAGTTTTCTCACATGTCTACACGGGGTAACTACAGTAAACAATATGGTTGTTGTCTCCCAATGAGATTAGTTCGACCCCCCAAAAGTCAAAATATTCCTGTTTGTAATAACTTAGCGGTTTCTTTTTTGTGTGTATAGAATTCTACTTAATAATTTATATTACTTGTATGCATGTAATGTTGAGGTACATACAGGTAACACCCTAGAAAATTTTCCATATGATCCTTTTAATATAAATTATGAAGTAAAATTACTTGCTAGTCACAATTATTATAATCATAAGCGCTAAATCCGCAAGGGTCTTTTATTTAAATTATGAATTACCTCAGGAAATTATTTAATCTAGTCTATTAATACTCCAAGGAGGGACCTTGATCACACTGAAGGGCTCTTGATCCAGGACGTTGGAGCTGCTCTTACCCCTTGGATTAAACTTGTCACCTCCTACTCCATAGGTTACGTACGGCCCCTACTGGTTTAGCGCTCCTTTAATTTAAGAATTCAACCCCCCTCCACCTTATTTTCTTGGGGAAGCGCTAAATACACAGGGGTTACACATATGTTGTGGATAGGGAGACGTTTTGGTTTGATCCAAGGATGAGGAGTCCAATTCCTTGGATCAAGAGCCCCTTGGCAGCCATCAAGATAACCCCTACATATATACTTACCATAATTAGCAATGTTATCCTGACAGGGAGGCGCTAAACCCGTAAGGGGACGATATACAGATGATGTATTAATGTCTAAAAGGTTATGGCAGGTAAACCCGTAAGGGTAGAAAGGAGCAACAACAATAAACATCTCAACTCTCTGACGGTCACACAAACACTGACATTTTCCTCCCTGAAGTGAAGTTACTAAGACTGATAACTCTACCTAGTGCTCACTCTCACCACCAGAGGCGCTCACCTCTACCTAGTGCTCACTCTCACCACCAGAGGCGCTCACCTCTACCTAGTGCTCACTCTCACCACCAGAGGCGCTCACCTCTACCATCTTCCTTATTACATATATAGGGGGAAGGGGCGCTAAACCCGTATGTGGGTCATAGCACCTGGGGAGGATGGGAGACATTTAGATTCCATCCAATTACTTATTATAATCAAAACTAAGTGCTAAACCCATAAGGGTAATACAGATCAAATGCTTTAGATCAAGAGCCCCAAACTAGCATCAAGGCCCCTCCCTGGAGAACACCAATAGCATCATATTCATAAAAAGCTGTAAACCCACAAGGGTCATTCATCACTACACAGTACTGAAGACTGTACATCAGCACCTTGATTATATTACCTACTTTTACTACATATGAAAATATACAACAGCAGAGAGGAGCTTCATCAACAAGTTTTACCTGTCAAATAGGATTCTTCTGTCAATGACTGACTAAAGAAGCCGCTCCATAGGCAAAATATCTCACTAAAGTTCCTCTTTATATTGTGTCATCACCACTTGTCAATTTTGAACTGTCTCCATCTCTTGTGGCTTATCCAAATATTGCCATTCAAGGTTCAACTCAATAAGCTACCTTTTGTATCATAATAACCAGTTGTTTGTATCACTGACCTTCAACTGTTGCATTCATATGTAACTGTGGTTCTGTTCCTGTACAAATTCTTTTCAACAAACGAGCCGTATCCCACCGAGACAAAGTAACCTAAAACGAGAAAAACGAGTTTTTCTTTTTAAATTTAGTAATTTATACTGGGGAAGAGGTTACTAGTTGTTTTTTAGTTTAATATGTTTATTATGCACCCCATACCCATCCTGTGGGCGGTAGTGAAAAGATTACAGAGGTACATAATTGGTCCAGGGACTGGACTCCAAAGTTTTGATAGCTGAGCAAGTTACAGAGGTAATGAACTCACAATTTACAAAGGTAATGAACTCACAATTTACAAAGGTAATGAACTCACAATTTACAAAGGTAATGAACTCACAATTTACAAAGGTAATGAACTCCAGGTAAGTCTGGTCACAATCATGACAAGTTACAAAGGTATTTACAGATTACTAGCCCCTTGCATTTCTGACTGCCTGTAGGACCGCTATATTCAGTTCCTGCACAAATTCAATCTCTTTCAAAGTGTGGCAATCATAAATGTTGATGTCTGTAAGTGAGTTTGTCAGTTGGGACCATGTTATAGTCACCAGCATGTAATCCATGTTATAAGTATTAAGAAAACAACAAACCAGGAGATCGCTGAGTGACTTTACTCGGTGACCCAGGGTACTCAAACCAGGAGATCGCTGAGTGACTTTACTCGGTGACCCAGGGTACTCAAACCAGGAGATCGCTGAGTGACTTTACTCGGTGACCCAGGGTACTCAAACCAGGAGATCGCTGAGTGACCTTACTCGGTGACCCAGGGTACTCAAACCAGGAGATCGCTGAGTGACCTTACTCGGTGACCCAGGGTACTCAAACCAGGAGATCGCTGAGTGACCTTACTCGGTGACCCAGGGTACTCAAACCAGGAGATCAATGAGTGACCTTACTCGGTGACCCAGGGTACTCAAACCAGGAGATCGCTGAGTGACCTTACTCGGTGACCCAGGGTACTCAAACCAGGAGATCGCTGAGTGACCTTACTCGGTGACCCAGGGTACTCAAACCAGGAGATCGCTGAGTGACCTTACTCGGTGACCCAGGGTACTCAAACCAGGAGATCGCTGAGTGACCTTACTCGGTGACCCAGGGTACTCAAACCAGGAGATCGCTGAGTGACCTTACTCGGTGACCCAGGGGACTCAAACCAGGAGATCGCTGAGTGACCTTACTCGGTGACCCAGGGTACTCAAACCAGGAGATCGCTGACTGACCTTACTCGGTGACCCATGGTACTCAAACCAGGAGATCGCTGACTGACCTTACTCGGTGACCCAGGGTACTCAAACCAGGAGATCGCTGAGTGACCTTACTTGGTGACCCAGGGTACTCAAACCAGGAGATCGCTGAGTGACCTTACTCGGTGACCCAGGGTACTCAAACCAGGAGATTGCTGAGTGACCTTACTCGGTGACCCAGGGTACTCAAACCAAGAGATCGCTGAGTGACCTTACTCGGTGACCCAGGGTACTCAAACCAGGAGATTGCTGAGTGACTTTACTCGGTGACCCAGGGTACTCAAACCAGGAGATCGCTGAGTGACCTTACTCGATGACCCAGGGTACTCAAACCAGGAGATCGCTGAGTGAACTTACTCGGTGACCCAGGGTACTCAAACCAGGAGATCGCTGAGTGACCTTACTCGGTGACCCAGGGTACTCAAACCAGATCGCTTAGTGACCTTACTCGGTGACCCAGGGTACTCAAACCAGGAGATCGCTGAGTGACCTTACTCGTGACCCAGGGTACTCAAACCAGAGATCGCTGAGTGACCTTACTCGGTGACCCAGGGTACTCAAACCAGGAGATCGCTGAGTGACCTTACTCGGTGACCCAGGGTACTCAAACCAGGAGATCGCTGAGTGACCTTACTCGGTGACCCAGGGTACTCAAACCAGGAGATCGATGAGTGACCTTACTCGGTGACCCAGGGTACTCAAACCAGGAGATCGCTGAGTGACCTTACTCGGTGATCCAGGGTACTCAAACCAGGAGATCGCTGAGTGACCTTACTCAGTGACCCAGGGTACTCAAACCAGGAGATCGCTGAGTGACCTTACTCTGGAAGTTTTAGCAGTAAAGGTCGAGAACCAAAACCTAGTCATTGTGGTAGTCTACAAGCCTCCGGATGCAACATCCCAGCAATTCCAGGAACAGCTGTTAAAAATTGACCACTGTCTGGAAAATCTTCCAGCTCCTGCACCCAACATCTTGCTCCTGGGGGATTTCAACTTAAGGCACCTAAAATGGAGGAATATAGCAAATAATATTGTTGCAGTAATAACACCAGGAGGCAGCTCTGATGAAAACTCACACTCACACGAGCTTTTAAATCTCTGCACAAAATTCAATTTAAACCAGCAAATAATAGAGCCTACTAGACTGGAGAATACACTAGACCTCATCTTCACTAACAATGATGATCTGATAAGAAATGTCACCATATCAAAAACAATATACTCAGATCACAACATAATTGAGGTTCAGTCATGTATGCGCGGAGCCCCAACCGACATAATGAGATTAGTCACGAGGAGCATTCACCAAATTCAACTTCAATAACAAAAACATAAAGTGGGACCAAGTAAACCAAGTCCTAACCGATATAAGCTGGAAAGATATACTAAGCAACACAGACCCCAACTTATGCCTAGAACAGATTAACTCGGTGGCACTCGATGTATGCACAAGGCTTATTCCTCTAAGAAAAAGGAGGAGTAGATGTAAAATAGAAAGAGACAGGCGCTCCCTTTACAGGCGACGGAAAAGAATAACAGAGCGGCTAAAAGAGGTCAATATATCTGAAATGCGTAGGGAGACACTGGTCAGAGAAATAGCAAGCATCGAACTTAAGCTAAAAGAATCCTTTAGGAGTCAGGAATCGCGGGAAGAACTAAAAGCCATAAATGAAATCGAAAGAAACCCAAAGTATTTCTTCTCCTATGCCAATCAAAATCGAGAACAACGTCCAGTATTGGGCCCCTACTTAAACAAGATTGGTCCTACACAGATGACAGCAAGGAAATGAGTGAGCTACCAAGTCCCAATATGAATCAGTTTTTAGCAAACCGCTAAACCAGACTGAGAGTCGAAGATCAAAATGAATTTTTTAGAGAGAGCCACAAAATTTGATTAACACAACCCCTATCCGATTTTATCCTGACGCCAAATGACTTCGAACAGGCGATAAATGACATGCCCATGCACTCTCCCCGGGGCCAGACTCATGGAACTCTGTGTTCATCAAGAACGCAAAGAAGCCCCTATCACGAGCCTTTTCCATCCTAGGAGAGGTGATGGACACGGGGTCGTCCCACAGTTACTAAAAAAACAAGACATACCCCCCACTCCACAAAGGGGCAGTAAAGCAACAGAAAAGAATACAGACCAATAGCACTAACATCCCATATCATAAAAATCTTTAAAAGGGGTCCTAAAAGCAAGATCACCACCCATCTAAAAAACCCATCAGTTACACAACCCAGGGCAACATGGGTTAGAACGGGTCGCTCCTGTCTGTCTCAACTATTGGATCACTACGACAAGGTCCAAAATCACTAAAAGACAAAAAGAATGCAGAGTAATATATACAGACTTTGAAAAAGCCTTCGACAAGTGTGACCATGGCGTAATAGCGCACAAAATGCGTGCTAAAGGAATAACAGGAAAAGTCGGTCGATGGATCTATAATTTCCTCACTAAACAGAACACACAGAGTATCGTCAACAGAGTCAAGTCCGAGGCAGCTACGGTGAAAAGCTCTGTTCCACAAGGCACAGTACTCGCTCCCATCTTGTTCCTCATCCTTATATCCGACATAGACAAGGATGTCACCCACAGCACCGTGTCTTCCTTTGCAGATGACACCCGAATCTGAATGACAGTGTCTTCCATTGCAGACACTGCAAGGCTCCAGGCGGACATCAACCAAATCTTTCAGTGGGCTGCAGAAAACAATATGAAGTTCAACGATGAAAAAATTTCAATTACTCAGATATGGTAAACATGAGGAAATTAAATCTTCATCAGAGTATAAAACAAATTCTGGCCACAAAAAAGAGCGAAACACCAACGTCAAAGACCTGGGAGTGATTATGTCGGAGATCTCACCTTCAAGGACCATAACATTGTATCAATCGCATCTGCTAGAAAAATGACAGGATGGATAATGAGAACCTTCAAAAACTAGGGAGGGCCAAGCCAT